GTTTACATTTTTATATATAATTGATTAAAAATACTTCCGATCATAAATTCATAATTTATACATTCATAATAATTCATTTCATAAATTCATAATTTATTCAACCGATTTATTACAGATTTTAGCTTGTATTTTACTCTACAAATTTTTCATACGTTATATTAAAATTGAGAGAGAGAGAGAAATTGAGAGGGAGAAATATTTTTTCGTAAATTAACTCTATGATTAATTGAAATAAAATATAACGAAAGTAAATAAAGTAAAAAAGTACTATAAACGTAAAGTTTTATAAACGTTTAATAAATTTCTTTCAAGCGATCGTTGAAAATTTTAGTTATATTGAATGTTTGTTTGTTTGAAATCAATATTTCTTGGACATTTTTTTGAGAGTTTCTTTATAAGTCAATGACATTTAATTTGGATTTAATCTTTAATTCCTTCTAGAAATAATAACTAACTCTCGAATTTCGTATTCTCATAAATGAAAATGCAACAAAACTTACAGAAATCAACAAGAAAAGTTAAAGTACGTCTCATACACCAAAGCAACACTGTTATTTTAACATTAATGATAGAGTCCTCGGCTTTGAATATACTAAAGCCATGAAAGCTTTTACCATCTTATATTTATTCACTTTTTCTCCGATTTTACCTAACAAATTCTAAAAAAGACTCAAAATATTTTTTCATCCTGTTTGATCTAACGCTTCTGAAGGGGAAGACGTTAGTTATAATGTTGCCACAATAGTGCCAACTTTAAATAACTTCAAGGATTTTTCTTTTTTTCTTTGGTTTGCCCAATATAATTCCATTTTTAACCAAGTTTTAAAAACATTTACTCATACTTCCTCCTTTAACGTTTACTGAAGAGAAGAAATATAAGGAATAATAATACAAGGAATTTCAACGATAGTGCCAACTTCAATTAATTCCAAAGAATTTCCAAGCAATAAAAAGAATCTTTTCTCGGAATTTTCCCTCATTTAGCCATCATACATCACATTTATTCCGCAACTAATTAGAACAATTCTTACTTTCCCATAAAAAAAACGAGAGATATTTACGCAATTCCTTTTGTTTCATAGTTTTTTCATTGTCTATAATCCCGACAATTAGTTCTTTTCTCACCTCTGCTGACCCTTGTAAGCGTTCCCTTCCCTCCAAGGTGGGCAGCATCCAATGAATTATGTTATAATGCCATTCCTAAATGGATTAAATCCGTTATTAATAACAAAAGCATTAGCGAAGTCGCAAATTAATGCGCTATTAACCTTCCGTGGCCGAAAAAATAAGCTTCGCCAAATTACCGTCCATTTTTATATCTGCAGTCTTTATGTAAATTAGACATTTAATGCTTGTTTCACGAACTAACCCAACCGGACAACAGTTCGTCCTCAAATGTGTGAACTAAAGAAATAAAAGTTCTTAGACTCCTTCGGTAGCAGGGAAAAGTGAAGTTTTCTGATAAGGTCTAAGAGTCTAATAAATTAATGAAGAGAGAAGGGGAGGAACATAAAGTCGAATAAATGGATGAAAATTATCTCAAAAACATTCTTCCCAGGACTTGAAAAAAAATTTATCACTACCGAGATTCGTTTTTTTTATATTTGTTTTCGCTTTCTTTCTTTTCCAGTCTGACCTCTGAACTCTTGAGTTGCGAAGTTGACGGGATTTTTATTCGCAAAATGCGTTGTTATTTCAGAGTTGGTTTCCCGATGTGTTCTACAGAACTATTAGCTGTTTTTTTTTGTTATTTATTTTGCTTTTGTTTCTTTCTTTTTTTTTCTGCCAAAGCGTTTGGAAATTGATCTTTGATGGAATGATTAGTAGATAATAGAAGAAATGTCTTTCACTTTTTGTAAGTCTTGCCTGGTTATAATTTCAATTTGCGTGGAGTTGTTCAGGATCAGTTTTAGTAGTTAAGCAAAATATCAACATTAAAGTAGTTAAATAAGAAAAGCACTAAATTGTAATTTTGTTTAGAAAAGTAATAATTTGTTAGATTTATCTTGAGTTTAACAGAAACCAATAGTATTTTCATATTTCTTTTTCTGTAAATCCATTTGGTTTTATCAAAAATTGACTAATCGTGTTAATAATATGAAAAATCTGATATAAAATACTCGTTTTGATAGAATTTCAAATTTTTGGAATTTCTAAAATACGTTGCTACTGTCATTCATCAGAAATGGAAAAATAATCCTTCAAAATAAATCCATCAGAAATCGAAGGGAATCCGTCAGAATATATCTGTTAGAAACAATTAGGGTATCCATATATAAGAATATGTATAAATTCAAACGAGAAACCAACAGAATATATCTGTTAAAATTCCAAGGGAGATCCATCAGACTATATCTGTTAGAAACAATTGGGGTATTCAATAAGAATATGTTAAATTTCAAAAGAGAAACCATCGGAATATATCCGTCAGAAATCGAAGAGGGATCCATCAGACTATATCGGTTAGAAACACTTGGGGTATTCAATAAGAATATGTTAAATTTCACAAGAGAAACCATCGGAATATATGCGTCAGAAATCGAAGAGGGATCCATCAGAATACATCTGTTAGAAACAATTGGGGTATCCAATAAGAATGTTGAATTTTAAAAGGGAAACCAACAGAGTACATCCGTCAGAAATCGAAGAGGGATCCATCAGACTATATCGGTTAGAAACACTTGGGGTATTCAATAAGAATATGTTAAATTTCACAAGAGAAACCATCGGAATATATCCGTCAGAAATCGAAGAGGGATCCATCAGAATACATCTGTTAGAAACAATTGGGGTATCCAATAAGAATGTTAAATTTTAAAAGAGAAACCATCAGAATATATCCGTCAGAAATCGACGGAAAATCCATCAGAATATATCCGTGAGAAACGGTTGGGATATCCATCAGAATATATCCATTTAAAATCAAAAGGGAACCCATCAGAATATATCCGTCAGAAATCGAAGTGGGGTCTATCAACAGAAATCTATTAGAAACCGTTGAGGGTATTTATCAGAATTTGTCCACCAGAAGTTGAAGGGGAAATCATAATGATATATTTATCAGAAAGGTGGGAAGGCATCAATATATGGAATTTTTTTTTATTGATTTGCAGAAAATATATATTTTTAATAATCTGTTTGTTTATGTGTGTGTTATACAGAGCTTTTCGTGTTTTTCTTAATTTTTCTTTTCTTATAACTTGCTAGTTACCAACTTTTTCAAGAAGTCAATAATGGTAAATTTTCTGAGTTGTTGAGAAATTTCTTTAACTATCTGATAGTTTGATTGTCTGGAGTTTAAAATCGGATAACTTTTGTTTTAAAAATGCGTATTACAATTTTAAGTAATCTGACAGGCAAAGTTAAGTAAAGAGAAAAAAAGACATTAACTCATAGCAATTTTTTAAATTTTATCTAGAAAATATTCGTTTATCTATCTCTTTGAGTGTATTTTCCATTGTATTCGAGTCTTACAATTTTTAGTAAGCTAACAGAAATAGTGGAAAAAAAATTAACTTAAGGGATTTTTTTTAGTTAGAGAATCTTTATTTTTTTCGTAGATTTGCCACTCTGAATGTTTCGTCTCTATTGCATACGCATATTATAATTTTTATAAGCTAACATAAATAGTAAAGAAAAAACATTAATTTATAGTATTTTTTTTTATTTGGAGAATGCTTTTTCATAGATTTGGCACTTTGATTACATTGTCCACTGCGTACGCGTATTATGATAATTTTTAGTTAGCTGACAGAAATAGTAAAGTAAAGAAAAATTTTAACTCATAGCATATTTTTTTTATTTAGAAAATCTTTATTTATCTCCCCAAGTGTCCTACAAAACTATTTGTGCTCTTCATTAAGTTTTTACTTAAAATCATTTGGCAATTATTATTATTTTTTTTTTTTAGTATTTTTCACTTGTTACTACTAACGCAACCATAAAAGTGCGTTTAAGACCATTTTCATTTGATTGTAATGCAAGCATACCTCGCATTATGATTCCAAAACTTTTTCAATCTAAATCAAAACTCCAAGTTTTTATAGTTTGTCTACGGTAAGAACACCCCTCGCCTCAAAGTCTGCTGCAGTGGAAAGGAGAATAGCGCATTTATGGGAGGTTAGCTTCTTTTCACTCTAGGGCTAACACAGTAGACCAACGAAAAAGATTCTCTTTCTCTCGCCGACCTGAACCAAAACCTGTTCTAAATAGTCATCCCACACCCCTACTTGAAATAGTTATACTGCGTTAGAATAGTCACCACCACGGGTCCAGATGAAGGGCTAATTCTTGCGTTATACAAACTATACTTGTCTTCCGTAAACTAAACTGAAAGCTTTAAGAACTGACAAGGGTCTGGGTACTCTTTTTGAACGCTTAACATTAGCGTATAAAATTTCAGAAAGAGAATTTCGACACTGAATGTGGTGGCTAGAACTACAACTTTAAGACTGGAAAGATTTATTTGAATCAAGGGGCAGCTCTGGAAATGTTAAACAATGTTGGCAAGCTTGATTATTTTTGTCATGAATAAATACTGACCAATTTTTGGGGGGCTTAGAACTACTAATGTTCAACTCCGTAGAATTGTAATTTTGAACCCTGTACAGAAGACAAGGGAACTCCTGAATCAAATATTGGGAGAAATTTGTCTTCATGGAGGACTTTTTTGATGGAACTAACCCGCATTTGGGTAAACCCCTAAAACCTCGCATGGTTAAAGTGATGGCAAGGGGACTCTAACCCATGATCCGTCTACCACTGAGGATATTTTACGTCAGCTTGTGATCGGTGCAAGTAGGATGCGGAATTCGTATCGAACAGCCATCGCTGGGATTCGAACCTGAATTACCTCATTGGAAGGTGAGCGCTCTATCCCCTGGGCCATCATGGCTCTCACATCGTTCATTGCGGGTTAAAATTAATTTCAAAAGCCTTGAATTTAAAAAAAAAAAATCTTATTTGCCAAACAAAATTTTATTTCAAATTTATATTTACAGGTTGCCGAGAAACAGCCTTTCTTTACGCAATAACAAGTGCAGGTGTCACGCATGCTATGGCTCGAGCATGCAGGGAAGGCTTGGTCACTTCTTGTAGCTGTGATTACAAACGTCGCGGTCCCAGTGGCTTGGACTGGGAATGGGGAGGTTGCAGTGATAACATTGAATTCGGATCCAAATTCACAAAACAGTTTGTAGGTGCTGCAGAACGAGGTAAAGATTTGAGGTTTACAATGAACCTGCACAACAACGAAGCTGGAAGAACGGTAAGTTTTTAAATCAAGCAATTTATGTTCACTAGATAAAAAAAAATTAGTCGCCGCTGATTGCATGCAAAGTCAAGTTCAAGTCAGAAAAGTTTTTTTTTTTTTTTTTACATCCGTCGTTAGTCGACCCAATTTTGGGTTTACTACTACTAATTTCCAACTCTGTAGCCTAGTAATTTTTAACCAATCCAGAAGACAAGGGAACTCCTGGATCAGTACCCCCAGAAGAATTGATTTGTTATGGGGTATTGCTTTTTTTTCACAGTTTAAATAAAGTTTGCATTTTAAAACTACAGAAATATCAAAATTTACAAAATATAAAAAACTTCTTCTAATTGAAAATTGCTAAAAGATGGAGGAACACTTATTGACCTATCCCCCCACATTACTCTAGCTTCTGATGAAAAATATTGGTGAGACGATGTTTCTTTTAAAAATTGTTTTACTGCAGAATTAAAGTTGGAGGAATGGTCATAAGGGTTACCTTGAGCGCAGTTCACCAACCTTTCTCATGAGGAATAAGGTGTTAGCAGCGCAGTCCACCCTGTTTTAGAAAACCATTAGCGCAATCCGCTACCACCGGTTATGGGAACATGGAGGACTTTACGACTCCACAGATTTAACGTGCATCAATCACTTTTTGCCACACGGGGAGTCTTCGGCCAACAGGGATTGAACACACGAACTCTTGGACATGGGCCCTGTGCCCCACCAACCAGGATACCCCAACCAGGCTACTTTCGGGGATGTTTTATTTATTTTTATATGAATGGGGTTTGCTCCGCGGTGGGACCACTAACATGAACCAGCATGTTTAATTTTACATTCCGCATAATCAGGTGTAACCTTGCACTCCACATCTTCATGGTGAGTACGCTGTTGATACCCCGATTTTTGAAGATGACATCAGCAAAGTTCAACTGGGGAAAATATATTGCAAATATTATGAACAGTTATACACCTTGTTTCATATCGATTGACCTGGAAAGTCACCTGATTTGAATCCAACAGAAAAATCTGAGGGATTTGTCGTAACAGTGGCCAAAATTGCAAAATCTGCATTTCCCTAATTTGGTAGGTTGGCACAGCGAGTTATATAAGCTGACATGCTCATCTATTGAATACCTGCAAAAGACGTCGTCGTTGGCATATCATGGCATTTGTCTATTCAGAAGCCAATCAGGTTCGAGACGCATGCGTGACGTCGCTTGTAGGTAACCAATTAAATCTGATTTGAATTAAATGGTTAGGCATAATCACTTCACCTCTTTTCAAGTTGCAAGTACTCCATTTCATGTGATTACTAGAATGTGTGACGGAGATGCAGGTTATTAAACTATTATTTTCAATGATTTCTCCAGTGGTGACTGATTTTTCGTCTAGAGAGAAATTTTTAAATGACTAGCAAATATTTTTTTAGTGGTTTCGAAATAATAAAATTTGTCTAAATATTTGATATTTGGGAAATTAAGTGTTAAGTGACATTTTTGTGGTTTAAAGAATGTCAATTTTAAATATGGGAGGAAACTTAAAAATTGCCTAACAAAATAATTATTTGTCCCTTCTATGAGGGCATTAAGGATAAGCAAAGGAAAATTATAAATAAAAATGAAATAGAATGCCTTTTTTAAAAATGTTTAGGCTAGTATTACCTATTAAATCGAAAATAATCAGCACATCATAAACAATTCTCGGAAATAATTGTTAAACTAAGATTTAAGCTATTAAGATTTAAGCTATTTTTTGCGAAAGGTTTTAAAAACGGAGTTTTTTTTCCGGTTTAAAATTAAATCCTTTGGTTCAAATCTTTATTTTTCTAAAAGATTCACTTTACTAATAAAAAGACAAATGATAAGAAAATTTTACTCCAATCAATTATAAATATTATATAATTAATTGGTGTAAAATTGTCTCATCATTTGTCTTGTGCAAAGTAAGCCTTTTAGAAAAATGAAGATTTAGAACTAAATGAAGAAATGAACTAAAGGGTTTAAATTTGTACCGAAAAAAACTTACGTTTTCATAACCTTTCAGCCTTTTTAATACACTTAAAATAGAATATATATTTATGTAATTTTTTAAATGTTTAAAAAGCAAGTTTTTCAATATCTTTAAGTTATGGAAGTTCATTTCGAGATATAGTTTTTGAGAATGGATTTACATCGATTTACGCAAAAAAAATTAAGAATATCTTATTTCAGAAAAATGTTTTTTACATTTTTTTATTAGTATCATTTATAGAACAATTGTATCAAATTTCCTTCAAATATAAAAATTAAGTTGTTTCATTCAAGAAAAAGTTGTACACTAAGAGTTTGAGTGTAGAATGCCGACAATTCCTTCCTTTCCAACCCTTCAGTTTTTCTACAGAACATGGATAATTTTCTTCTTTTTATTCCGTGAAACAGAGTTGCAAAAACTAAAACTCCATACCCAGTCGTTCTTTGATGCATTTTACTTACATGAATATTTTGCTCTTAAACATTGCATGAATATTTTGCTCATTAACCGGAATATGGGAAACAATGTAACAATCATCAAGGAAAAGAATTGTTGAATATTTATGATACGTCCAATGGAATAGTTTTACACAGAAGAGCCATTACATTATGACCACCCTCCATCTATAACAATGGGCTCGCCCAGGTTTTCATGGTTTCTCGCCCAGGAACAGTGTTTTCATGGGGCACATTAGGACCCATAATCCTCATAGAACAATCCCTGATGTCTCCAAGCTACTTGAACATAGTTGCAGACCAGGTTCACCCATTCATGGCAACAGTTTTTCCTGCAAGGGATGATGTTTACCAACAGGATAATGCACCATGTCATAAGGGTCGAATCGTCATGGATTGGTTCGAGGAACATTCCAGTGACTTTCAAGTCATGTCTTGGCCCCCAAATTCACCTGACCTTAATCCAATAGAGCATTTGTGGTCCTACTTGGAAAACCAAATTCGTGCTGCCACGCTACCCCCTCGCAATGTGAGGGAATTGCAGGACCAGTTGGTGAGCGCTTGGTACCAGATACCTCAGACTACCTATCAGCACCTTGTGGAATCAATGCCATGGCGGGTGCTAGCAGTTTTGAGGGCTAAAGGTGCTCCTACATGTTATTAGCAGGGTGGTCATAATGTAATGGCTCTTCGGTGTATATTGAAATCATATTTGGAGAGCTAACTAATTCATTTGTTCGAATATTTCAAGCACTACACCTCGTACACCATTAAAGAAATATTCTGAATATTCACTACTTGCGCTTTATTTGAAAAAAAAAAAAAAGAAGCTTTCCAAGCTAGCAACAAAATATCACGTATTTGATTCAAATGGTTGATTTTATTCACAAACATTGCTCGCAGTAAACCCTTTAGCAAAGATGGGTACTGGAATCTCTTTTATATATTTTTTTTTCTGACTCTCTCATTACAAGTAAAAATATATTTTAGTATTTTTAATTATAAGAAAAAGTCTAGTAATTTCTTTTTTTTTTTATAATTACCCTCTAGGAATGCGCTTCTATAAGCATAAATAATTTAAAATCAAACAAATATAATCAAATAAATATAATCAATAAATATGTCTAATTAATAAAAAATAATAAGTTGTTCACTAAGGTGCAAAATTAATGAGGAAAATCGCTTTATTGTGGTAAATATTAATGATGTCTAGTTGGCTGCGAGCAATAGCCTCATTTTTTTGTGCCGAAAAATATTGAGTTTAGGTAATAGTTATTTAAAATATGTTGAATTTCTAAATACGTGTTTTGCACTATCAAATAATGTGAAGTCAGTCACCATGTGCAGTAAGTAATAATAATAAAATATTGTAATTATTTTAGCTTTCAGTTTTGTGCACGATTGTGTAATGCTGATACACTTTTTCACCCTGTTCAAGGAATGGGTATTCAGTTAGTTCATTATAAAAATGATCGAAATTATGATGGATGATATGTATTTTGATATTGACATCTATTTTGTGAATATCGAATTTAGCTGAGGTGGGTCAATAGAATAAAGTCTATTTTCTCCTTTTTTTTTAAGACCATAAGTAATAAATATTGTTCAATAAATTTTCACAAATAGGCTATAAGCTATAATACGTAGCTACATTTTATGCCTGGATGTTTTTTTTTTGTGTGTTTTGCTCTGTCTTTAATTTTTGATTTTTATATTTCTATGTATATTGTACTATATTGGATTAATGAGCTGTGCTATTGTATTGAGCACGCAACCCCGTATTTGAATGTTAATTAATAAATTGTCAAATAATGCAAACAGGATACTACCATAGAGAGAACATATATTAAGGGGACCGGAAAGTAATGTTTGGGAGCATTAAATATTCGTTAGTCTTAAACCCCAATTCATTTTTTTTCGATGCATTTCGATTCATTTTTGATCCGGCATTGAATGGTTGCTGCTAACGAGGGTGAATACATTATTGATAAAATATAAAATCTTGATAACAAACATCAAATGCAGTCAAACGACATTACTTTCCGGTCCCTCTAATACTAGAGAGGGCCATTATTTTTGTAATACCATAAATAATGAATATTGCTCTATAAAGGGTTACAAATATGATATAATAGGTAAAAGATACTTTTTTTTTAATCATAGATTTTTTTAAAAATTTTCTGGACTGCTATAATTTTATTTTCCTGTTCTGGCTATAAATCCTGCTGGAGTTGTTTTCCCCCCCTTTATCTATTAACTTGTTGACTACAATGTAACATACTTTTCCTTTTAAGGAAAAACTTCAGAACAGAAAAAAATAACTAATAATGATTTGAAATTTAATTTAGTATAAATAAACCATAAATATGGTATAATACGTAGAAGATACTTTTTTAATCATAATTTTTATTTAAACTTTTATATACTGCTATAATTCTTTTTTTTATTCTATTTCTGCTACAATTCCTGATGTAGTTATTTTTTCTCTTTATCCATTATTTTGTTGCCTACAATGGAACATATTTTTTCTTTTAAGGAGAGACT